TTGAAAAAAATGCTTACATGGTAAAAAACTTATATAGTTGGAAAAAAAAACTTATGGTTAAAATTATTAATTATAATTAAATTTATACCAAACAAACATAATCTTTCTTCTTCGACGTTGATGGTTAACCCTATAACAAAACGAAACCAAAACATTGAAAATTCATACTATTTCAATCCAGCTTAATAACCACATAATCACAAGAGAAACATCCAAACCAAAACATATAAACAAAATTCTGCAAGATTCATAATACTAAATTGTCATCCCATAACCACAATATTTGAAACAAATATTCATCACACAGAAGGGTTCAATATATGCATAGAAATTACTAGAGTTACTGAAAAGAAAAATCTATAAATATGGGTTTGAAGACCCAGAAATTTGGGTTCCTTGAGCCTAGATCTGGGTTCAAACAAACCCTGCAAGGTTTGCATAGAGGGGAAGAAGGAAAGGGAAGAAAGGGCAAGATAAGGAGAGAAAGGGTGTTGGAATCCTTGCCAAAGATGGGATGATGTTTTCCATTAATGGAGAGGACTTCAAAGATGCTATGATATGGAAGGAATAAGGACCGGGAGAGAGAGGCGAAGAAGAAGGACGTTGGAAAAGGAATGAAGAAAGGCACTAGAATTGGGAGGAAGATGAATACAAAAAGAGAAAGGAGAAGCTAGGTTGAAGTGTCGAGACAGAGAAGGAGGAAGAGAAAGAGAGCACTAGAGAATGGAGAAGGGTAAGCCGAAAAAAGGGCGAAGATGAATTAGAGAAACAAAGAGGAAACCGAAGGTAGAAGATGGAGTAAGGGGTAAATTGGTCATTTTAAAAATATTTTAATTTAATAAATAATTAATTGGGCAAGTGGGTCCAATAATTTTCCAAATAAGATTAATAAGGACACATCATTAAAAAAAAAAAAAGAAATGCCACTTAAACTGAGTTAGTGGCCCTAGCTGACGAATGATTAAAATTGTATAGTTTTTAGAATCGAAAAATAAAAAAAGTGCAAAAAATAGTTGATGGATGAAAATTGTGTAATACTATAAAGTTGAAGGAAAAAATTAGCATTTAACAAAAAGATTTTATTATATCTTACCTTTTAGATCAAGGAGAAAGTATACGAACTAGAA